ATGGAATAATTCCCATCCAACTACAGAGGGGTATCGACATCCTTCTTCCTTATCTGTTGAAAACCTTCAGAGCAAGTTTTGCATGGGGATATATTCCAGAACGATGGACAATTGTCAAGGTTGGAAGTACCATTTTCCACGGAAGTTTAGTACTTGGGCGTAACAATCGACCAAAAATTAACGTGGAACTCTCACCTTAGCTACGTGTGCCATAAGGCAAAAATTGCTTTAGGTACGTGCAGTCGTTTGGTCGGGAACAACTGGGGCTTGCGTCTCAGTATGGTCCTATGGCTGTACAGCAGCATAGTGAGGCCGATTCTAGCCTACGCCTCTATTGTCTGGTGTAACAAGGCCAACCAAAAGACGACTGCGGACAGACTAAATAGTCTACAAAGGACTGCCTGCCTAATGGCACCTGGAGCTATGCGATCATCGCCTGGAGCGGCTCTTAATGCACTTCTATGCCTAACGCCCCTTGATCTCTATCTAGACAAGGAGGCGAGGGCTAGTTTGTATAGCATTAACGCCCAGGGCGGTCTGAGCTTGCTCTCCTACAGATTGAGATCCATGCTCGACTCAATTAAGGAATCACCGGTCTTATGCGTGATCTCAGATATCATGCGTCCACTATACACTTTTGATAAAAAGTCTATAGCGGAATTACACTCCAGAGAAGACTGGCTGAATGGCCAGGTTATCTGTGAGGTCGGTAGCCTCATATGGTATACCGATGGGTCTAAAATGGGCCTCGACGTAGGCTTTGGAATTTACGGGGAACGACCCAAATTCAAACTTAGTATGAATTTGGGTAGATACACCTCTATCTTCCAGGCAGAAATTTTCGCCATACTTCGGTGTGCGGAAATCAATCTGCAAAAATACTACGTCAACCATAAAATTTACATAAACTCTGATAGTCAAGCAGCACTGCTAGCGCTGAGATCAAACTTAGTGAACTCAAAGCTAGTTGGAGACTGCGTGAACCGTTTAAACGCCCTGGGTTGTAGAAACAGGGTCGTTTTAAGATGGGTTTCGGGTCACGAGGGTATTGTAGGCAACGAATTTGCCGACAAACTTGCACGGGAGGGCTCAAAGTGCACACAATTTGGACCCGAGCCATTTTGTGGAATCTCAAGAAGCCTAGCCCGATTGACCCTTGAAACTTTATCACAATAAATCACTTAAGATCTAGTATGACACACTAGGCTTAAAACATTCTAAAACCTTAATCCGGGCTTTTGATCGTAAATTCGCTTCAGAAGCCCTGGGATTAAGTAAAAATAAATTGCGCATTCTGGCAAGAGCCCTAACTGGACACTGTTGTCTTAAAAAGCACATGTCCATCCTGGGACTAAGCAACTCAAGGATGTGTCGGTTCTGTTCCGTAACGGAAGAAACGCCTCTACACATCCTAACCGTTTGCGGACCCTTAATGCGCAAACGTAACACTCATCTGGGACACTATCTACTCCACCCAGAAGAAGTGAAATTGCTCACGGCTAAGCAACTCCTTCGATTCATTGAAGACATAGGGCTTAGCAGTGAACTATAGCCATAGCAGCGATCACAATAGATCTTCTAGGTCGCAGTGATACTGGTCTCTTTACCTAGACCTGCATAGCTGATCGTACATAATAAAAAAATGGTGCTGGAAAGCACCGAAACGTCGGGAATTAAAAATAAAAATAATTCAAATTCAAAATAAACGCGATAAAATCATCGCGTAAAAGTAGTTTTAATCAATGTGTAGTGTTCGCGTAAATATAAGAAATCGTTAAGTATCGATATATATTGCGAGAGAAATATCGATATATCGTCATGTATTGCATGATGTAGTAGGATAAGCCCCATTTTATTACTGGACCGTTGGATGACGAGACAAAAAAGGACAACAACACATAACTGCTTTTGTTGCTTGATGTTTTGTCGATTAATAGATCATCCAAAAATTTAATATATATCGAAATTGATATAAATTCGGTACGATATATATCGATATATTTAAAGAAAATATCTATATTTTTATCCAAGCCTAAGTTAGCGACGGGTGATCGTTACAAAAAAAATCGACTGAATCGAAAATTATGCTATTGACGTGTATCAATTATTCTTTTCTAGTGACCGAATCTTTCTAATAATTTCGTCACGCTATATATTATGTAGGTAGTAAAGTCATTTTATTGAACTTAAACTTATTGAATTTCAAGGTGGTAAGTACAATCGACGCTAGATTGCATAAACACAAAAAACTCAAGTGATTTAATTGATTCGATTTGATTTTGATTGATAACTTTATTCAATATACTTTAAATATTTAATAAATTTGTTTATTCCTAAATTTCATTCCTAATTACATGTCTGAAAATAAGGATTATAACATTTATTTGCTACAAAATTAAACTTTTATCTTTGTCTGAAAATAAGGATTATAACATTTATTTGCTACAAAATTAAACTTTTATCTTATACTTACATAAGGTGGTTGAAAATTATCATATTAAATAAATCATTTGCCATAAAATCTTTTGAAGTGTTATTTTTAGTAAACCATACGAAATGATATTGTTAACTCATAGATGTGACAAACTAATATAATAAAATGTAAAATATTTTTTAATTTATGTAACAATATTATAATAAATACTCTTGATACTCTGCAATCTGCATTGTTTATTCGATTGGTCTGTTTATTCAGATCATTCGGGATTCGGTCGGTTTTCGACTCATTTACAATTCACACCAATCACGAATTAAAAAGGTTCCATCAATCGTTTGTGATTGGTTATACCGGCACATTCAAAAACAAATGAATGAACTACCAATAATTTTAAGTGCACCAGCTCAAACAAACGAATCATGCATAATTGACACATGTCTATGCTATTGCGCTTTAGATTGTCAATTTAGTAGTTCCTCACAATGATTATTCGAATAACAATCGACAAGCTACTAACGCACACTGCAATCCGCCGCTATGTAATGCATGCGAGTAACTCGTTAAGATACATTGTGAAAAACATAATTCGAATAATTATAACTTTTTTACTTAATTCTTATTCTAGTGTTTTAGTTTTATGTAGTTAGAAAATTCTTACTTGCATTTCAAAGTTCGCTAATACACGAACGAATGGATGTTCTGCAATCGTTAGTTTGATAACAATATTATAAAACAAACAATTATAATGTATTGGCACCAATTGCATACATAACACTGCAATCGTAACGTAAGTAGTGGCGCTCAGACTTAGTGCAGAGCACGACCGCCTTACTATCTTTTGTAGCTAATTATTTAGTTGTATGTATCATACGTGCGCTGTATTAAAAATTAGTAGTTAGTAGTAAGTTTATACGTTAACCGTTCATTCATTGTTGACCTCACCCGCCGTTAGACAATAACAATCGACTAATATGGATTGTTATCGAACTTTATCGACGAAACTGAACAATCGACTAATTCGTTTAGTTTTAGTAATAATCGCATATCGCTAGACTAATTTAGTCTGTGATTAAAAAATAAAGCAGATTCTAAATTCAGAAGGGCTAGAACCCAGAGCCGTAAAGCCAGTTAATTAAAAAAAGCAGTTTCTAAAATTCTAAATCTATGCTCATAATTTAATATAGCTTGCTACATATTTATTTATCTATGATATAATAATAAATGTATTTTTAACGTGTTGTTTAGGTTCAAGTTATTATTTATAATATTTAATTCGAATATATAACATATTCTCTTAATTTATAATGTTGCACTCTAACATTCAAGTTGTTATAATATAAACAAGAGGCAAAGCAATAATTGTACTCAGCCGTGTTATTGTTTGTATGTATTATTTAAACATTGAAGTTTAATTAATTTAACTTTTTTTGCAAAACAACCCATCAAATAGTATGTTTTTTTATATTTTGCCATTTACGATCTTTCAATGGCATTAATGGTACAATATGAATCTAATTGCTACAAAAAATGTACTAAAACATAAATATCTCTGAAAATAGATCAGAAAGAACGAATTTAGCTTTCTTTATGATTTATTTGGAGAGGATTGTTACCATTTATGTTGAATTGTTTTTGTGTTCCTGGAATTTATCATTGTACGTGTCATTCTTTTATTATTATTCAGTGACAAGCCAATTAGTTCATTGATTGTAACTACTTCCACCCTTGAACACCTGCAACCAATTTCAGACAGAGAAGGTTATAAATGTTTCATCACACTGAGGACTACCATGAAAATTATAATGATGCCTTATAATGTACAACTCAGTTGAGATAAGTTTGTACTTGGTGCAGATGACATAACAATGAAAATAATCCAAAAACTAAACAAATAGGGGACGAAAATTAAGATGCGTGTACCAGTAACAAAGATGCAAACTGTACTGACGCCACTGTATGAACAGGGGCATGAGAGCGGAGAAACAGAGGGTCTCGCATTGCAATGAGGTGTAAACTTAGCTCAACTGGGTTGAGTTTATATTTATATGGGCTCTCAAATGGGAACAAAGCAGTTTTTATTTAAACGAAGATAAGTCACTTGACCAATTGAAGGGATATTCTATTTATTACCATTACCGTTACAGCTTATTAAAGTCCACTGCTGAACATGCTTTGCCTTGTAGGGGGGATATTTGACATAGTTGCCACGCTTGCCAAGCAGGTTACGATATTCTATTATCCTCATTCAATGCAGAATTGACAACTAGGCAGCGAAAAAGTTATTGTTGAATATATTATTATTTTATGTTTTAGTTCATTCTTCTGGCGATTGCAGAACCAAATGCAAGATGTGCCTTCCTGTCACCAGTTCACTGTTAAACATAGACCTTGCCATTATATCTGAAATATTCTTCCCATGGCCCATTTCTAAAATAATTTAGCAAAAGATTTTAAGAATAAGTTGTGAGTTGACTTTAAGGGCACATGTAAAAGAATACAATACTTTCTATGGCATTCTCATAAAATTTAGAGAATATCTAATGATTTCAGAAAATCTTATTAAATGGAGGCTGCAAATGTGGCAATTAAAACTGAAAAGAAGGAGGAAGAAGAACAGAATGAGGAAATAAATCCAGCAAATATGTTTACCAGCGTATGGATCAAGACTGAAAAGGATGATGAGGAGAATGTGCCATTAGATGAGGAGCAATTGGGTACTGAGTGTGAAGAACAGCAGGGCTTACAATTGTAAGTATGTTATTTGAAGTAAACTTCAATACTGAACTTGATAATATAATAATAATATCCTCCAGACAGAAGGTTAGTCATGGAGGCTTGTCTATTAGTTCAAATCTACAAAGGACTGGCTCTAGTGGACGAGTCAAACACAGATGCACTCTGTTCCTCCACCTTCCTAATTCGATAGGAAGTACATGCTTTCCGAGGCTTGGGGACGAAACATTGCAAACTCTGCCACTTGATTGCTGCTGAGAATTACTTGACAGAAAAACCCAATAACTGATTTTAGGTTCGACCCAGGATTCAAATGCAGGACTACATGATTAACAGTCATGCTTATGGCCACTATTCTAATAAGGCAGTCATATGAATACATATGATGGATAATAATTCAAAAATAATATATATATATATATATATATATATATATATATATATATATATATATATATATATATATATACATTCATCATCATCATCATCATTACAGCCCTTCACAAGTCCACTGCTGAACATAGGCCTCCCCCAAGTAATGCCACAAAGCACGGTCCTGAGCCACCTGCATCCATCGACTTCCTGCATATCTTACCAGGTCGTCACTCCATCTAGTGGGGGGTCGCCCTACACTACGCCTACCGGTACGAGGCTGCCACTCGAGAACCTTTCTTCCCCATCGGTTATCGGTTCTTCGAGCTATATGGCCGGCCCATTGCCACTTCAGCTTACTAATCCGTTGGGCTATGTCGGTCACTCTGGTTCTACTGCGGATATCCTCATTTCTGAGTCTATCACGCAGAGAAACTCCGAGCATAGCCCTCTCCATAGCTCGCTGAGCGACCTTGAGCGTCCTCATACGGCCAGCAGTGAAGGACCACGTCTCTGATCCGTAAGTCATCACTGGCAACACGCACTGGTTGTACACTTTAGTTTTCAGAGATTGAGGTATACCTGACGAGAAGATGTGTCGTAATTTCCCGAACGCTGCCCAGCCGAGTTGAATCCGTCGATTGACCTCTCGGTCGAAGTTGGACTTACCTAGTCGGACTATTTGTCCCAGGTAAACGTACTCGTCAACAACTTCAAGCATAGTGCTCCCCACAACTACCGGCATAGGTGTGACATGGACATTGAACATAATCTTTGTTTTGTCCATGTTCATCTTAAGACCTATCCGTTGGGAGACACCATTGAGGTCATTGAGCATAGTGCTAAGGTCCTCCAGCGATTCTGCCATAAGGACTATATCGTCGGCAAATCGAAGGTGAGTGATGTACTCGCCATTGATGTTAATACCGTATCCTTTCCAGTCCAGTAGCTTGAAAACGTCTTCCAAAGCAGCGGTGAAGAGTTTCGGGGATATAACGTCACCCTGTCTTACACCTCTCTGCAGTTGGATAGGTTTCGAGCTCTGGTTCTGTACTCGGATAGCCATTGTAGCCCTACTGTACAAACACTTCAGCACTTCGATATACCGACAGTCAACTTGGCACCGCTGAAGGGACTGCAGCACCGCCCAAATTTCGACGGAATCAAAGGCTTTCTCATAGTCCACATACGCCAGGCAAAGTGGCAAATTGTACTCTTCAGTCTTCTGTACAATCTGCCGCAGGGTATGTATGTGGTCTATGGTACTGAAGCCTTTTCGGAAACCGGCTTGTTCGGGAGGCTGGAAGTCGTCGAGTCTGCTTGCGAGACGATTCGTAATGACTCTCGAAAACAGCACGTAGACGCGGCTCAGAAGGGAAATCGGTCTGTAGTTCTTCAAGAGAGCGTTGTCGCCTTTCTTAAAGAACAAGACCACCGCACTTCTGCTCCACGCCTCTGGAGTAGTGCCACCATGGAGGACGGAATTGAAGAGCTTCTGAAGGACTTCAAGTACCGGTGTTCCACCCGCTTTCAGAAGCTCCGCTGTATTTCCATCCTCGCCCGGGGCCTTGCCGTTTTTAAGGTGTTGGAGAGCCATTCTAATCTCGCTCAGACTGACGTCCGGGATATCATCGGAATAGTGTCGGATAAGACTTGCTCTTGGATCGTTACTCACACGTGAGTGTGGCTCCAACGATGATGTGTACAGCTGCCCATAGAACCTCTCAATCTCACTCAGAATCTCAGGTGTCCCGGAAACGATGTTGCCACACTCAGTCTTCAGCTTTGACAGTTGGCTCTTTCTGGCAGACAGATCTCTGGCAAAGACTTTGGAGCCCTGGTTCCGCTCGATCGCTTCTTTAATACGAGAAGTATTAAAGTTGCGTAAGTCTCGCCGCATGCATTTGGAGATCTGTCTGTTCAGTTGCCTGTATGCTGTCAAATCTGTTGACGATTGCAGCCTCATCTCCCGTCTAACAGCCATGAGATTAAGAGTGTGATCGGAGAGTTTTTGTGTTCTTCTGCGGCGGGTCTTGCAGAACTTAGCTCCGACCGCATGGACAGTTTCCACGAGCTTGTCATTCATATCGTCCACTGCATTGCAATCTTGTAGGCACTGAAAGCGGTTGTGTAACTCGAGCTGAAAGTTTTCGGGATTCTGGATTAGAGCACGAGGGGGGACGGAGCGTTGACTTCATTAGACGAGACCTCTCCAACTTAACGTTTAGGTTCAGTGTGCCTCTAACCATTTTGTCTCAGTTGGCGTCTGGTCGTCATAATGAAGTCAATCTCATTTTTTGTCGAACCGTCGGGGCTCGACCAGGTCCACTTCCTGTGGGGCCGCTTCTGGAAGAAAGAGTTCATCATAAAGAGTCCCTCTTTCTCCATAAAGTCGGCCAGCTGCTGGCCCCTTCGGTTCCGTTGCCCTATTCCAAATTTCCCTAACTTCAGCTCACCGTTTTCTCTTGTGCCTAGTTTTGCGTTGAAGTCAACACCGTGTAGTGGCTTTTGGAGGAATGCATGGCTTTGGAAATATCCTCATCGGAATGTGCCGAGGTTGGTGCGTAAACCTGTATGACCTTCAGCGAATACCGTTTGGTGATTCTGAGTATCAGGTACGCGACCCTCGTCGACACACTCCCAATCTTTACAACGTTGTTGACGAGAGACTTGTGGACGATAAATCCGACACCTCCTTGGGACAGATGGTCGCCCTCCCGGTGATAGAACAAGTTGCCGGATTCGAGAATCACCGTGTCCTCCCCCCTCTCTTCGGACCTCGGATAATCCTATAATACTCCAGCGCAACTTGTCTATCTCTTCTTCCAGCTCCAGGATCTTCTCGTCAGTCCTCAGTGTGCGTGCGTTAAATGTTGCCAGGTCGAGTCGTCGTAGGTGGCAACCGAACCTCCACCGGAGATTCTTAGCACCCCCTGCCCCGCCGTTACCATGGTCGCCACCGTAGCCAGGAATAGCGGAGCCGCCGGGGACTGGGGGCCGTCTATTTGTGTAATTGTTCATGGGGGGTATATTGCCATAGTTGCCACGCTTGGCGAGCGGGTTGGCAACCGCAGTTTTTTTTTTTTATCGTACAGTTGCTGTTATCAGGAAGATGCTGCTGCCCATCTCCTGCCTGTCTCCCTCTGTCGCCTTTTACGACACCCACGGGAAGATATGGGGTAGTGGATATTCTTAACCGCCACTACACGGTAATATATATATACATTATATATATATAATATATATTTATAATATATATTTATAATATATATTTATAATATATATGTATATATATATATATATATATATATATATATATATATGTATATATATATATATATATATATATATATATATATATATAGATATATATCTATATAGATATATGTATCTTCCGTGGGTAATGATAAAATAATTATTATTTCAGGAATAAATGTGAGGATAAACCAAAGAAAAAAAAGCGACAAGGGGAAACATTCTGTTGTGATATGTGCAATTATTCCACCTCTCATAAAAACTGTCTTAAAATCCACATGCTCAGTCACAATACAACAAAGCCTTTTGCTTGTGAATTCTGTGATTATGCCACAAAGTATCCCATGGCACTCAATCGACACAAAAGTAGTAAGCATCAAGCGGAAAATGAAGATTCTAATGGGAGTAAGAAAGAAATCCCTATTTATAAATGTGATCAGTGTGAATATGTGTCACGGTTTAAATCAAATTTGAATTCTCATAAGCGTAAACACAAAATTGAAAAACAATTCAAGTGCACGGAATGTTCGTATGAAACGGCTTACAGACACAATTTTATGAAACATAGTAGACAACACAGTAAAGTCACTTTCAATTGTGATAAATGTGATTTTGTAACACAATATGAGGGCCACATCTACCGGCACCTGTCCAATGTTCACAACGACGTGATGGACTATGGTTACACATGCAATTTTTGTGATTTTTCCACTGCTGTGCGGTGGCGGTTGAATATTCACAAACAGAGAAGTAAGCAAGAAGGTTTATTGAAATGCGCAAATTGTGATTTTGAAACCATGTACAAGTGTGAAATGAAGCGACACAACAAGGAACACGTTGGCGAGACCAATGGACGTAAAGTGCATACGAATTATAATTTTGAAAGCTACAGCTATCCACCTACTCTACTCAATGCGCCACTACTCGATGAACCTGAGTATTCACAAGAACCCAAAGATGTCAATTATGCCAACGATCACCAGAAGTCTAATCATTACACGTTCGACCCTAACTGCTTGGAATGGAGCAATATACCTGTGAAAGAGTCCGATGATATAGATCGTCCTTTCCAGTGTCACATGTGCAACTACACGTCAAAATTCAAAGCTGCAGTCCAACGTCACTTTCAGAGACATCACACGGATAAACAAAATCGACCCTTCAAATGCTCCAACTGCAATTTCTCTACAAAAACAAAAGATCAAATCACTCTACACAACAAGAGGAGTGAGTCTAACAAAACACTTTATTGTTCCGTGTGCAGATTCACCACTTTGTTCAAATGCCAGTTTGTTATGCATCAAAAGACTCATTATCAGTACAAATGTAAGATCTGCAATTACGCATATAAGAATAAGTATTATCTTCAGAAACATTCCTCCTCTCACCATTTAGGTAAAACTATGAAGTGCCAATACTGTGACTACAAATCTGCAAGAACAGACAGCTTGGCATGTCATGAAGCCACGCACACCGGCGACAAACCAATCAAATGCCATCATTGTGATTATAAAACTATAAGAAATTGTTTTCTCATGAAGCATATTAGTCGACATCACACTGATGGTAAAAATGATGAAGTCTCTGATAAAGATGATGAGGATCAGTTAGAGTAGTTAAAGAGTAAATAAAACATTTATGTTATTTAGAAAAAGAAATGAAGATTTTTTAATTATAGTTATTCAATATAAGAGGAAACTCGAAGCATTTAATATTGTTAAGTTGGTAGAAGGTTGATGATAAAATAAGTGACTGTTAAAAGTTTCAGTTGCTGTTTCACTTAGGGTGTGCTGTACTTGCTTGTTAAAACTATACACATGTATTAATTAGTAAAGAATCCATTACCTCTTTTCTCACCATGGGTATAGTGAGATTCGAGTATGGGAAATGCTAGAACTCTTGGCTTCCGAAAGATGACAGTATAATCAGACGAAAAATACTGAGAATGGCGACGGGGGCGAGAAGTCGGAATCTGCGCTTGCCAATCTGCTTGCCAGCTAGTCAATTCTGGCAAATTTTCATAACTACAAGGAGAAAAAGGAAGGAGAATTAGGATTAAAAATGACATCATTATATATTTAACATAAATTCTCAAAATGTATCGTAAATGATTTTGTAGTTTCTACATAATAACTAAATAAATCAATGTAGTAACTAAGTTTTTAGATTTACCTTAAATAATCCTTTTTTTTAAGAACAGTGTTTACTGCTTTCATCAACATCATTACAGCCCTTCACAAGTCCACTGCTGAACAAGGGCCTCCCCCAAGGAATGCCACAAAGCACGGTCCTGAGTTAGCTGCATCCATTGACTTTCATGCCTTACCAGGTTGTTACTCCATATACTCTCGAGAACTAATTTCTTCCCCACCTGTTAACGGCCCTTCGAATTATACGGCCGGCCCATTGCCACATCAGCTTACTAATCCATAGGGCTATGTGGGTTACTTTAAACCCCGAGCATAGACCTGTCCATTACTTTATTTCGCGCGCGCGTGGACTGTGCGGATCGCTCGGCGATTTCTTTTCTTAACTGGATTACTGTGTTTTTTTTTATTGGATAAAGGTAACAAACGATTACACTTTCAACCTGATGGTAAGTGGATGCTCTGCCCCATAGTCCTCTACATTTATACTCAGTTAGGAATCAAAATGCAGATGCGTTGTCACTCCTGAAAACTAAGTTGGAATGCCTCGTTTCCAGTAAAAAAGGGTCCAGATCGCTACGCTCACCATACGAAATACAGCAGTATTAAGTTGCTATTTTACGCTGGTATTCTGTGAGAGCGTGGTCCTTCCCTGGTCGAGCACCCATTCGTGCTACAACCATAATATAGCTGCAGCGTGGTTCTACCTTGTATGAAAACTCACGACTCCAAAATTTTTTTCATAGGTGAGTGGGCAAACGAGCATATGGCTCACCTGTTGGTAAGTGATTACCGTCGCCCATGAACAACTGCAACACCAGGGGAATCGCAGATGCGTTGCCGGCCTTTTAGAAAGGATTAGGCACTTCTTGAAGGTTCCTAAGTTGTATCGGTCCGAAATGGTGGTAGTTGATTCCACAAGGAAGTAGTGCGAGGAAGAAAACTTCTTTTAAATCGCGCAGTGGTGGATCGCCAGTCATCCAGATGGTATCGATTGTATCGCGAGTTTTGTCGCGATGCTTCGCGACAATTCCTCAGAGCACTCCCCGTGGTAATTGCGATAAAATACGCAAAGAGATGCAACATCTCTTCGCAGTGCCAGTGAGTCAAGCTGATCGGAAAGAGCTCGGTCGCTGAAGATTCGAACAGCTTTGCGCTGGATGCGATCAAATGGAAGGAGCTGGCACTGGGGAGCCCCAACCCAGAAATGGGAACAGTATTCCATGTGCTGTTGAATCTGCGTCTTGTAAAGTTGCAAGCGGTGTGCCGTCATGAATTACTGTCCCGCTCTGCTGAGCACGCTAAGCTTTTTAGAGACCAATTTGGCATTATCTTTCAAGTAATCACGAAACTGTACGTCACTAATGTTCCGTGCCTGAGTAACGAGTGCCTTGAAACTGAGGACATACGACGAAGGGGTTCTTTTTAGTGGTAAACGCGCAAACTTAGCATCAGAACGTAAAGCCTTTTAAAGAGTATATAAGATTGAGGCAAGGTATATCGGAAAGAAGAAAACTATTGAAGGACGGAAAGTTTTGTCAGATAGTGAATGTGCTGAAGAATTCGCTAATTTTTTCCAGTCTTATTAGCCAGCCACCTTAGTTAAGCACAACGGAGGCTGCTACTGCAGCGGCGGGCGCGTGGCCTCAGCTGAAGCCTCTGCAACCAGTTAATGTTCTGCGTGCGCTTGCCACCTCCACTCGAAGTGTTTTTATGTGTGTTACCTCAGAACTTTTTTCCAGGTGAACCAATTTTGATGATTCTTTTTTTTATTTGAAAGCTGATGCTTCTCATGTGGTGCCACATAAGTTTCATTAAAATCTGACCAATAGTTTTAAATTATAGTAGTTACGTTGTACCAGTTCTGGCTCACTGAGTCAGAAGTGGTACAAGTACGACGTTCGTCGACTCACGAATCTAAAAAATAGTTTTGGCATGCTCTGATCACGAATCTGCGGTCTATTTTTATGCGTACGGATGCACGGTTTCGGAGATGTGCAGATCAATTAACTCTTATCTAATTGATATCCGGTGCGGGACTCCACCATCATTAGCGACCCATTATTCTTATCTACTTATCTATTGTTCATTGAATACCGTCATTATCTATTCTTCATCAGCGTGGTGCTATTGTATTATACTCCTTTGTTCCTATCTACACTAATCTGACTCATCAATAAAACACATTACCTAATTTTGTTACATTTTTTATTTACAAAATACAAAATCTTATTACTTATTATCTATAAAATAGGAGCGAAACATCTCATCCATTAAAATATCGTTGTACAATGTGTTCCCTGTAAATATACTCGTAAAACTGTGCATTGAACATCCCTGAAACTTATATAGCAAATACATTAAGCAATATTCGCCACAAACTGAAGTCCACTCATTCTGAATCCTATCAACATTCCAGTTCCACAAAGACTATATAACCACTTGACTGCGCATACAGTGCCCCGGCGCTCGAAAACTATTAGTATTTTGTCGCCTATGCATCGGCTATGGTACTATTAACCATTTTAGTATTGTCCAAGTGTTAGACCTGTGTGCACGCTAAATTAATGCAAATTTTTATAACTTTTATGCAATTATAATGCATCAAAATGCGCGGTGAAGTGGTGTGGGTAACATTCAAGGACAGATGTCCCAAAATAATGGAGTAACTTTTCATTGCTAAGTAAAAAATACGAAAATTATTGTTGATTAATTCAGATTATGAGCCACCGCAGGGGTCTATCTAAAACGGTGGCCGGGTAAATAACGACATGGTTGAGTCTCGCGTTGATGTCTTTTGGAAAAGTCTCGTTCTATTATTAGACAATTCTAATGCTTCTATCCCTTTCTTTCCCTTTGTATGTTTATCGTAAACATTAGTACTTACTGTTACCTTTAATAGCTGAAAGTCGATATCGAAAATAATAAAATTATTAAGATTATTCAATTCACACACTGTGAAAAAATACTTATCTACTTTTAACCGTCTTCATAAAAAAGAGGAGGTTCTCAGTTTGTCGGTATTTTTTCTTAGTTAAAGTTTATAGTTACCTAGTTAAATTAGTTAGATTGGTGTACCAAATCAGAACGGCTTACAATTTCAAAAGGACACTAAAGACAGTAATAGATATTTGTCGTCGCTGTAAAATTTTTAATAAGAGGGCGATCAATGAGAGTGGTTCAAAAGTGCTGTCTTCGAAATATAATACAAATTATTTTATAAGAACGGTTTTAAAATCTCTGATTAGGTATTATTGATTCCCGGATATTCATTTTCATCAATATGAAATAGAATAAACAAATCATTTAATTGAATTAACAAGATGCATAACTTATAAATTTGTAGACGCTTGTTTATATTTTTTTACAAAGAACAATCAGGACCCTTAAACTTTAATTCGAAATAAATATAAAAAATTATTCATTTTAAAAATCAATAATAATATAATAAATACATGTTTTCGTTGTAACTGATTGACTTTGATTAAATATTATTTATATGATTTTAATTGAGTATTTTTCATAATGATAAAATCCATTTTATCGATAACGAATATTTTCCTTTATTAAGAAGAGCAACCCTAAAGATAGCCATAACAACGCAACTTGACCATTTGCAGCCACGCGTTCTTCCTCGTCCCCCGGCCCGCAGTAGTGAGTCGTATGCTTAGAAGAAATCTGCCTATACGCTCTCTAGTGGTTATATTCTCTATGCAGTTCCATCTTTTACAAATTCTTTTTAAAAACTCTAGATGATATCGTACAGGTGCCCGTCCGAATGAATCAAAATATTGACTGACGTCATTCGTATCGATATATAAAGCTACCCAATGTGACCCTGGTTTATCATCTGTATCCAAATTGCATATTATATACGTTGGTACGTGGGTGTACATGGGTAGTTTATTGGCAGCATAAACATTATTTTCTAGAGTGGGGTGAATCTTTTTCAGATGTTGTTGTACATCTAGTGTATCCATGATATTACTGCTATAAGTAGATTATTACAGTACCAATCTACTCAATGACTAACATAGGAATGATCAATTATAGTGATTTCTAAATATTAAATTGCATTCTTTGTGTTATACAAAACGTATTTGAGTCATCAATACACTGAACAAGACACGACACGAAGGACGAAGGAATGTTGAGATAAGCAACAGAATGTGAGATAAGCTTGTTGACGCATAAAGTTATTATCAATTCTACTGCAGAAATTCTTTAGATTAGAATTATCACTTACTGGTACTATATAAGACCAAGCAACTGCAGTCATTGAGTTAGTGTATGGTCGTTTGACCGCAGTGGATCTATCAATACATTTGTGTTACTTCAACGCATCAAAGGCTATGGATGTAAGTGTTTATTCTATTGACAAACTTACTTTTCTTTCTGTTATTTTCTTACGTGTGTATGATTTAGTGTTAACAAATTATATTTAAATATTGTGTGTGTATATGATTAAG